CAAACACACTCTCTGTCTTGTACATGCTTGTGTGCATTCTCAAACATGTATATACACACATATGCAAGTTGCACTTGCCGACATACGTGCACGCCACGAGAGAGAGAGAGAGAGATTGCATTGAGATTGAGATCCTGATATGATGAATCAAATTTCAGCTAGGGATGCGCCTTATGCAAAAGCAAGGACCCACTTTGTGCGGGATGTGCAAATGACCAGGACTTATGGCAGCGACCAGGCACGGGTTGCTACAGAGAGTGGACCTCATCTCCTCTCTTAGCCAAACATGCTCTGTTTGGATTCTCTCTCAGCTCTGCTCACATTGTTTGCTAATGGCTTAACCTTTCTGGTTCTTTAGGAGGTCCCAATGTCTCCTTGGAGGGTGCAGAGTGGTGTAAATCAAAAATGTAAGAAAGGTAGTTATGCTTTTATTTGTTTTTGCATAATTATCTGAATTACCACCCAATTTTGGCTAAATTTGATAAGACAATTGGCAAATTTGAGCCAATTTTTTAACTGAATTCCTGAATTTCAACACTTCGAGTCATGTTTCTTTCGACCAATCTTCTGTTTGGTGCAAATGGGAGTTCAGTTTCTTAATCCAACCAAATTTAGATGGAGCTAACTATGTCTTGGAAAAGGGGAGGAAGTGAATGCTATATACCCATGGGTGGGGCATGCCTCTAATGTGTTTCTAGATGGGAGAAAAACAGATTTGAGAGAGAGAGAGAGAGAGAGAGGCAGTGTTAGAGAGACAAAGCTTAGGAGAGAATGTCAGGCCATGGCCCTTCTTCCTCGTCATCATCATCATTACGTTTGAGGATTTCTCAAGCATCCACCGAGCTTGTAGATTTTGCAGGTTGGACATATATCAGTGACTTCTTGTTGCTCGATCCGCCTTTGAGGAGTTGCCACTCCTCTCTGTGATCGAGAAGAAGAAAATCAAAGAAGTGAATACCACACTAGCAAGAGGTAGGTAATTCAGTTTCCGGTTTGATTGATTGTTTCTCTTATGTAATTGGTCTTGGACTACAATAGTTTTGGAGCTATGGAGGAACTCATTTTTATGCTTGTGCTTTTGAGTCTTCTTCTTCCTCCATGATACTGGATTGAGCTTCTCCCTAGATAAACCATAAAATTGGATTTTCTCTACATTTTATTATATAAAAAGGGAAATTTATTCAAATACCTATGAGAGATGAACTATTTAACTTTCTAACCATATGTTTGAATTAAATTTCAAAATAGCCATCAAAAGGCAGATGATCATGTGTTGGAATGTTGGAATGGTTGTAATTGGGCAAAATATTAAATAGTTCATATCTTATAGATATTTTGATAAATTTTCCTATATAAATAATTTTACATATAGGGCCAATAGCCTTATTTCATGGCAGGTAAGATCCCACAAGCATAGGCTGTGAGGCCTCACAGAGATGCAAGCAAACGCCATTGCCTCACTGCTTGCAAGGCTGGGTTCAGGCCAACATGTCGTGGCCTGAGGCTAAGGGTGGCAAGGAGACGGGCCTGGGCTGGGCTAGTCTTGGCCCTGACTTGGCCCTTGTTCCCATAGGCCCGGCCAAGCAGAACTGGGCTGGGCCGGCCATGCTAAAAACAAATGGAGAAATATATAGGAAAAAACAAAAAAAAAAGATTGCCGCATCGGGCCGGTGGCACGTGCCCAGCCCTGGAGCCAAAGTTTGTGGCCCGATCCCTACTTTTCTGGAACCAGTCCAAGCCAAGTCTCTCAGCCCATTGCCAACCTTACCTAAGGCCTCCTAGGCCACTCCCTGAGCAGGCGCATGCTCAGGACTTCTCGCCCAACAGTTGCTCAATCTTGGATTCACAAGGGAAGACAACGTTATGACAGGACGGTGCAAGGTCCAAAATCTTAAAAACAAATTCAGCTTGCTTTCAGCCCTCTGCATAAACCTTTCTTACACATGTTACCCCTGATTTTCTCCTTCAATATACAATATAAGGGGAAGAGAAGAAAAAACAAAGAGAATACCCCAAGATACCCTTGCTGCCACATTCTCAAAAACAATGCCAAAAAGAAATGAAAAATCTAACAAAAATGGTAATGTGGAAGTTGCATTCCCTTGTTCCTCTTTTAGATCTACACTCAGTTAATTGGAAGAACTCTTAGTGCTTCACACAACCCAGGCCCCTTCCAACCCTTTTGGATCTCTCACATAAGGATACTGAAAGAGAAACTCCTAAGGTACCATAGAGGGGTATAGGGATACTTAGGACATAAAGGAAACTTGCCTTCTATGGGTGGGGGTGACGAAATCCCAGCCATCCATCCCTTAGATGAGCCATATGTTGAAAATTCTATTGCATCATTCTTGCAATTCTATGAGGAATTTATTATCAAATTAGAAAATACTTGCAAGGATCCAACAATAGTTAGCAAATTGTAGAATAACATTGCACTGAGAAACCAAAAAATTGGTATTAAATTGTTTTATATCCAAAAAAAAAAATCAAAGCAAAAATAAGAATTTCAAAAAAGTCAAAAAATAGCTTTTTTGTTTTTGCCTTCTTTTTTTTTTTGGAATCCTAACTTAAAAAAGTCAAGAAACAGTTTAGCTCCAAAAACAAGGTGAAATAAATCAGATATGTCGAGATGAATAAAGCGAGGTTATATTTTGAAGAGGAAGAATACATTGATTTTATTGTGAAGATATAATAAAGTTATTAAACAATAATTTTTTGCCACAAGTTGGTAGCATTCAAACTCATTCTTGCAAAAATTTTATCTAAATTTATATTAAACACAACAACATGGTATGCTGCCTCTACTATCATAGCACAATACATATAAAAATTTATTGGGAGAATACAATGGAATAAGCAAGCAAGAAGGCCCCCAACTCTAACCCTCAAGATCATTTAAGGGATAAGGCTTTGGCTAAGGCATCAGTTTCCCTGTTTTACTCTATGAAAGCATGCTGAAAACGTACCTTCTTACCCTCAATAAAAATAGAACCTCATCCATCATCTGTTTTCAATACCCACGGTTGAACCTCATCCATCATCTGTTTTCCGGTTGATTACACCACTTGATCACATTAAAAGAATCTCCACAGTTCAGCTTGAATAACCTCAGAACCCAGTAATGACCATTGAAAAGTCCATAAGGTGGTCCCTTTATATTTTACTTTGTCAAAAAATTAACCCATTGAATTTAAAACCTTTCACATAACAAACAAAATCAGTGTATGATTCTAATTGAGACGAAACCATCTCAGTGAGAAGAAGAAAAAGGTGCAATTAGAGAGAGCACTTCCACACCCATATAGTCAGAGACAGAGAGAGAGCTCTATACGTTTCAGTCATAGCTCCTCTTCCTCTCCCTCTTTGTTCTGGTCAATCGGCGCTTTAGTTGGTCTTGTTCAAAGTAAAGATGAATTTAGTTAAAACTCAGGGTAACTTTCTTTTTCTAATTTATCAGATATTTTTAAATTATTATTTATATTTGTTTATATTTTTAAAATCCAATCAAACCGTTATGACCCACGTTTACACCGATTTTGATTAGATCAAACCCATTATTGATTCGACTACCACACAAAGTAAAACGTGCGTTAATCAATTCAGTGTTCGCAAAATCAAACCAAATTAACCGGACATAGGCCTGGAAGCGGTTTAAGCAGCCTAGGCGGTAAACTGGCCGATTCAAAAGTTCTATCAGAAGAATTCTTTGGCGATCAAAAAAGCGTTGAAAAAAATAAAAAAGATACAAAAAAAAATCTCCTAAATTATGAAAAGCATATAAAAAATAACTAAAACAATACACATTCAAATAAAGTTGAAAATTAGTGAAAAAAATGGATTTTAACTAATCGATTTGTGCCTAGGGGTATTTTTAAAATTTTATGAAAAAGATAGGAAAATATAAAAACGAGTATTAATGATCAAAACAATTTTTAATCTTTACCATAATGTAAAGAATATTAAAAAATGCATTACAAATCAAATTCTTTATTTTTGAGAATTTATATATATTTGTTTTGAATTTTTTTAAAAAAATACCGGTCGATCACCAAAACCGCCCACAATCAAACCGACAATTGGCGGGTTCCGATCTAACGGGGAGGTTAGCGGTTAGATCACCCTATTTTTCCACAGTGATCCAATTTTCGATTTGATTGGTTTTCAGTGCATAGTATTTGGTCTAGAAAAGACACTGGAATATGTTCTTGATTTAGATGCAATCATCTTTTTTTCTAAAAAAATTTCTAAATGACTTTTGAAGTTCTAAGACTCCTCTATAACATTCATAACCGACCTTTTTGATGTTTTGTGACTCATGCACTGTGAAATTTATCAAATAGTCAACTTTTTCAAGTCAATTTTGTACATCCTCCATCAAAAACCTTTCAATAAATTTAATAGAGGTCGATGATAAACAACCAGTTGCTTGCGAGTTGAATCTCATCAACATGTCCAAATTTCTCATCACATATAGTTTTCGTAAAAGCCTAATTTAGAGATTTAGAAACCAAGTTGATTTTTGTTAATAAGGGGATATCCAAAACTCACCCCTTAATGGTATTAACATGATGTGTATGTTTGATAAGTCTTTTAAGACCGTATTAAAATATGGCACGCCATTTAAGATAATGTCAAATCTACCCTATCCAAATAGAATCAATGATAGATTGTTATAACCTTATTTCTACAAGTCAACTTGCAATTTTATATTAATTTTTCCTTATATATTAGGAATCTTATAGAAAATTGAAAACTTCAATAAGTTTCCTATTTAACATATCAATATGAATCTCATATATCCTATTAGGAAAAAAGTTTATCTAATGTTGCAACATTACTTGCAAAAACAAAGTTGCAACATCTATACCATTCATTTTTTAGATGGTATAGATTTCACACTTTCTTAAAGGATGTGCCATTTTTTAATATTGTCTTACAAAATATGTCAAATCTACTCTGTCTAATTAAAATAGACATTGTAGAACATCGCAACCTTAATTCTACAAGTAGGGTTGCAACCTTATATAAATCATGCCTGTGTGTCACATAGATATTTTAGGTGATATCCTTTTTAATAAGAGAAAATTTCAGTTATTCTTAAGGTGTTCTTGTCCAGGACTATAGTTTAGTTGTAGAATAGATAAGAGATATTAGTAGGCAATGTCAGTCAAGAGAGCTAGTGTAAAAAGACTACTTGACTGGGCTTTGTTGAGGGTTAGATAGGTAATACTGTGTCCCAAAATCTATAATGGAAACCTCGTCAATATAATGGGTTTCGATTTATCATACCCATGAATGTACCCCCTTTAGAATAAACCAAAAAAATTCTTTGTATTCTTGTGGTGCATGTGCTTTTAGGCTTTATTTCTTTATAATGGCCTAATTTATTTATAGCTAGTTAAATACACGATGGCTAATTGTACATTTCAAGGTTCCCTTTTCTTCAATGCCTAGGGTTCATAAATCCTAGCATTTTTTAATCCCATAGTCAAATCGTTGGGTGGCTTTCTCTTTTTTTATAATTAAGGAAAATGTTTGACATGGCTGTAGCCTATCAAAATAAGTAAAGCCTCACCTCAAAACTCACTTAAAATAGCAGTTTTGATA